ATTTCCGATTTTCAACCAGCTCCGTGATTTAACGGCTCGGATTCTTAGCTGCATCCAGACCCTGAACACACCTGCGTTCTTAGCAACGTCTCCCGATTTTACTGAGAGTCTCCTGCTGTTTGGTCCTTTTCTTAACTCCCCAGCTCCTGCAGATTACAAGAGTCTCGTCTTTCACTTAAAAGGTGAGTTTCTAGCCCTTGTGGCTGCAGAGAAAATGTGACCCACTAAAAGCTACAACACGGGAACGTAACACTCTCAGAGCTCATGGAAGAAGTGGGCTGTTCCCGTGACTGCTCATGACACCACCTATGTGTTTTGTTAGCCTGTAAGGTGCTACTAGACTATTTGTTGTTGACGTTTTTCCAATTACAGACCAACTCGTTCACCCCTAAAGAGCTCAGAGCTATAAAGTCAGTCACATGATTTTGAAGAGCCCCATGCACGATTACCAAATGCTGGGCTGGCAAGGCTGCTCCTGTCACATAAAAGGGGCTGGGAAGCATCTGGATTCCCCTGCTGGGAATTCTCCGGGAGCAGAGGGTCGGCACATGAGCCCCACGTGGGTCCGACTCCGTGCCCAGTGTCTTGGGGGGATGGGTGTGGGCGGAGCACTGAGAGCTCCAGCTGTTCTGGGCTGGGGAAGTTGCCCTGAATTCAAGCAGCTTCTGGGACCAGTCCAGCCCCAGGACAAGCCCAGACTAGAGCCACCTCTGGCACCCCCATCCCCTGCAGCCCAGAATCTCTCTCACCATTTCCCACTGCAAATCAATCCCAGCCAGGGAAGCACCGAGGGCAGAGCAGTTCTTCTGGCTCTCGGTCCAGTTGGCTTCTAGCTCTGAGAAATAGTAACACTTCCCCTGGTACCCGATCCAGTCGAAGGGGCAGGCGGCCAGCAGGCAGGGAGCACCAGCCGGGCACAGCTCATATGTCTTGGCTGGAGATGAGAAAGCAGCAGGGTGAGAGATTTGCCCGTTTCCCTCTGTACCCAAGAGAACACGTCTCTAGTGACACTGTAACAAGGAACCGACCCTCTCCCCTCCACACACACACGCTCTGCTCCAGGGTTAGCTGAGCCTGTACCAAGGCATGTTCCCCTTTCAACAGGGAGAGGCCAGCGCTGCCCCCCTCACCTCCTGCCCCCGCATGCTCTGGGTTGGAGCCACATTTCCTGCCCTGGGCTCCTTTGCTACAGCCCAGTTTTGCCCCCTGCAGGCGCAGATGCTACCAGGGAGACCCTGAGCACCAGGCTAATTCGTGACACGTGGTGGAGAATGTGGGTATGATCCACGCCCTGTAACGAGGGCGTGAGTACAGGGAGTAGCAATATTTGTCGTTAAAGGGGTAAGCACAATGGAGGTGGAGAACCAGCGACAGCTGCAGCAGCAGCAGACTGAGGTGCTGCAACAGGTAACCACTGAATTTTGGGAGCAGCAACGACAGCTGATCCATGAGCTAAGGGAAGGGGGCAACGGTAACCCCGACGGACGAATCGCAGGTACGGGACTCGGGGTAGGGGACAATGAAGGAACGATTGGGACTTGTCTCCCGATTAGGTTGGCCAAGCTAGAGCCTGAAGATGACCCCAAAGCCTTCCTGGTGACTTTTGAGCAGGTAGCAACGGCGGCCCGATGGCCTCACGAGCATTGGGCTATGATATTGGCACCTTATCTCTCTGGCCCCGTGCAATTGGCATATCGGGGAATGTCGGACAGGGAGGCCCTCTGTTACTATAAGGTAAAAGAGGCAATACTGGATCAACTGGGTATATCACCCGAAACCTATAGGCAAAAGTTCCAGGCCTCCAAATACGTGACGGGAGAACGTCCCCGAGCGGTGGCCCAACGGGTGAAAAAGCTGGCCTGAGTTGGCTGGAGCCTGCAACCAAGATGGCGGCGCAAGTCGCCGACTTAGTAATATTGGAACAGTACCTACAGGTGCTGCCTCCCGAAGGGCAACGCTGGGTACGCCGTCACCTTCCCGGGACCCTCGAGGAGGTGGTCTCTTTAATGAAACATTTTATGGCCACGGAGGGTGCGGAAGAACGTAGTAAAACAGGGGCGGGGGCCAGCCCGGTGGGAAGAGGAGGGGCCAGTCCGCGGGGGAAGGAGACCCGGAGCAATGGAGGGCTGGGTCCGAGAATCACACCAGGATGGGTCATGGAGCGACGACTCGCCCCGGTATGGCGCAGCCCGGAGAGACAGGAGAAGGATGAGGCCCGCAGTGGCGAGGAGAAACAACCAGAAGTCAAACCCGCAACCACCTTGAGGTTAACGTGTTATCACTGTGGCCCATGATGGACTGTACGTACGGACAGCCTACCCCGCGGAGAGCCCCATGACCGGAGATAAGCAGAGCCAGAATCACGCGGATGGTACGCTTGGATGGGAGACTAGTTGAGGCGGTGCTAGACTCGGGGTGCGGGCAGACGCTTGTAAGGAAGGACATCCTGAGAGCGGGGACACGCAGCGGTCGTCAGGTATGGATTAAGTGCGTGCATGGGGACACGCGACCTTACCCGACCGCCCAGGTAGTCTTACATGACGGGCAGCAAGGGGGGCCGCTGCAGGTAGCGGTGGCACAGCGGTTACCCTATCCCGTACTGT